AGAGAGAGAAGAAAAAGAAAGAAACCACTCTGAGTTTAAAGAAAAGTTGTCATTTAGTATCAAAGTCATGTCTGAACCTTTGTGACTCCAAGGACTGCAGCACACCAGTCTTCCCTGTCCTTCACTATCTCCCGGAGTTTGCTAAATTCATATCGATTGAGTCAGTGATGCTATGCAACCATCTCATCCTCTGTTGCTTCCCTTCTCCTCCTGCCCTCAATCTTTCCCAACATCAGGGTCTTTTCCAGTGAGTCAGCTCTTCGCATCAGGTGACCAAAGTATTGGAGCTCCAGCTTCAGTATCAGTCTTTCTAATGAATAGTCAGGAATGATTTCCTGTAGGATTGACTGGTTGGATCTCCTTGCAATCCAAGGAACTCTCAAAGAGTCTTCTCCAGCACCACAATTCAAAAGCATGAGTTCTTCAGTGCTCAGCCTTTTTTATGGTCCAACTCTCATATCTATACATGACTACTGAAAAAATCACAGCTTGACTACACAGACCTTTGACAGCAAAGTGATGTCTCTTCTTTTTAATACTCTGTCTAGTTTTGTCATAGAGATTTCCTTCCAAGGAGCAAGTGTCTTTTAATTTCGTGGTGGCAGTCACTGTCCACAGTGATATTGGAGACTAAGAAAATAAAATCTGTCTCTGTTTCTACTTTTCCCCTGTTCATTTGTCGTGAAGTGATAAGGCTGGGAATTAATTACATGGGTTATAGAACTGAGAAGCCTACAGCACACTGAGAGAGAACTCAGGGACCAGAAATTGCAGAAAGCAGATATTATCCATAGTCTGGGTGTCTCCTTCACTCTACACTACTACCACAGTCAACACACTTTTGACTACAAATGTCAGGTAAGGTTATCCCACATCAAGAAATTCTGCAACATCTGCTTAATGTCCTACAATTTAATTCAACTCTGACACTACCTGCCTGGAAACAGCACCCCACAGGTTAAGGGTTCAGTCTTATAAGACCATTCTCACAACTCCTTCAGATACCAATCTAAAGTAGTCGGTCTCCAGGTGCTTACAACTTTTTGTCCAGTTGTCTACACGTTCCTTGAACATTTTGAACATTTTGAATTTTGAACCAGGTGACTACACTGCCTATTCAATAAATAAATAAAATTAACAGCAACTTCAACAGCAAAATCCTCTGAATCTTTTTGCCCTTAGCAAATTTGGCAGGAAACTGATTTCCAAACCAATTTAATTTTCCCCCCTCTCTTTAAGAGAGAGAAAAATTTAAGGGAAAAATTCCAATTAGCTTGATCTACATATTATTGCCTGAAGTGCTGTTACAACTATACAGTCACTAGGTTTAAGACTCTAGCAGAATGTTGCCGCATAAACATATGGAACTACACAAAGGAGAAGCAAACAGGGAGGACCAGCTACATTCTTAACTCTTCTTTGCCCCTGATACACTCAAAATAAAGAAAGTACCAACAGACACAACATTAAAGTTTCAAAGCAGAGACAGTAGTTTTCAGATTTCTTTTAAAGTTAACCTGTTAATAGTCTGCATGCACATGGTTAGGATAATTAAGTTAAAACACAGATTTTCTTGCCAATTTTTCTTGGTAGATCATCTTTTAGTTATTCATTTAGCATCCCTGAGGAAAAAGAATGCTGACCACCAGCCAAACAGTATTTCTCTCAAACCATACTGGAATACTATGTAAACGTAAAGTGTTAAATTAAGATTTTCTAAGTTTACTACTAATCATCAATAATGTTCAGTTCAGTTCAGTCGCTCAGTTGTCTCCTACTCTTTGCGACCCCATGGACTGCAGTACGCCAAGCCGCCCTGTCCATAACCAACTCCTGGAGCTTACCCAAACTCATGTCTATTGAGTCAGTGATGCGATCCAACCATCTCATCCTCTGTCGTCCCCCTTTCCTCCTGCCGTCAATCTTTCCCAGAATCAGGGTCTTTCCCAATGAGTTAGTTCCTCCCATCAGGTGGCCAAAGTACTGGAATTTCAGCTTCAGCATCAGTCTTTCCAATGAACACTCAGGACTGATCTCCTTTAGGATGGACTGGTTGGATATCCTTGCAGTCCAAGGGACTCTCAAGAGTCTTCTCCAACACCACAGTTGAAAAGCATCAATTATTCGCCATCAGCTTTCTTTAAAGTCCAACTGTCACATCTGTACATGACTACTGGAAAAACCATAGCCTTGACTAGACAGGCCTTTGTTGGCAAAGTAATGTCTCTGCTTTTTAATATGTTATCTAGGTTGTCTAGGTCTAATATGCTGTCTAACTTTCCTTCCAAAGAGTAAGCGTCTTTTAATTTCATGGCTACCATCACCATCTGCAGTAATTATGGAGCCCAAAAGAATAAAGTCTGCCACTGTTTCCATTGTTTCCCTATCAATTTCCCATGAAGTGCCAAAATCTTGAGCATTACTTTACTAGCATGTGAGATGAGTGCAATTGTGAGGTAGTTTGAACATTCTTTGGCATTGCCTTTCTTAGGGATTAGAATGAAAATTGACCATTTCCAGTCCTGTGGCCACTGCTGAGTTTTCCAGATTTGCTGGCATATTGAGTGGAGCCCTTTCACAGCATCATCTTTTAGGATTTGAAATAGCTCAACTGGAATTCCATCACCTCCACTAGCTTTGTTTGTTGTGATGCTTCCTAAGGCTGACTTGACTTCACACTCCAGGATGTCTGGCTCTACGTGAGTGTTCACACCATGATCATCTGGGTCATTAAGATCTTTTCTGAACAGTTCTTCTGTGTATTCTTGCCACCTCTTTTGAATATCTTCTGCTTCTGTTAGGTGCATACAATTTCTGTCCTTTATCGAGCCCATCTTTGCATGAAATGTTCCCTTGATATCTCTAATTTTCTTGAAGAGATCTCTAGTCGTTCCCATTCTATTGTTTTCCTCTATTTCTTTGCATTGATCACTGAGGAAGGCTTTCTTATCTCTCCTTGCTATTCTTTGGAACTCTGCATTCAAATGGGTATATTTTTCCTTTTCTCCTTTGTTTTTTGCTTATCTTCTTTTCACAGTAAGGCCTCCTTACACAGCCATTTTGCTTGTTTGTATTTCTTTTTCTTGGGGATGGTCTTGATCCTTGTCTCCTGAACAATGTCATGAACCGCCAGTCATAGCTCATCAGGCACTCTATCAGACCTAGTCCGTTAAATCTATTTCCCACTTCCACTGTATAATTGTAAGGAATTTGCTTTAGGTCTTACCTGAATGGTCTAGTGGTTTTCCCTTCTTTCTTCAATTTCAGTCTGAATTTGTCAATAAGGAGTTCATGATTTGAGCCACAGTCAGCTCCCAGTCTTTTTTTGCTCCCTTTATAGAGAGCTTCTCCATCTTTGGCTGCAAAGAATATAATCAATCTGATTTCAGTGTTGACCATCTGGTGATGTTCATGTGTAGAGTCTTCTCTTGTGTTGTTGGAAGAGGGTGTTTGCTATTATCAGTGCATTCTCTTGGCAAAACTGTGAGCCTTTGCCCTGCTTCATTCTGTACTCCAAGGCCATATTTGCCTGTTATTCCAGGTGTTTCGTGACTTACTACTTTTGCATTCAAATAAGGTAGCATTCTCTAATTAAAGAATATTACCCCCATAACTGCACTGGGAAGTAACACATGCATGCAAAGTCTTCATTCAGAAGATCTTTGATATCAAGAGTCAGGACATAAAAGGCCTAATCCTATGAAGAGAGGAGTTAGAATATTGTCCTTCATACTACCTACTCACACTTGGGAAAACTGAAAAAAAAAAAAAAATTTATCACCATTCTTGATTTTCTCTCTTCCAGTTTCATCCCTGTAACTGAATAATGAAGTATTGCAACACAGGACTTAGTAAAGGATATTATCCTGGAGGTGGTGGTGGCGGTTGTTCAGTCGGTAAGTCATGTCTGACTCTTTGTGACCCCATGATCTGCAGCACACCACGCTTCCCTGTCCTTCACCATCTCCTGGAGTTAACTCACATTCATGTCCGCTGAGTCAGTGATGCCATCCAACCATCTCATCCTCTGCTGCCCCCTTCTCTTCTGCTGCTGTCAACTTTTCCCAGAATAAGGGTCTTTTCTGGTGAATTGGCTCTTCAGAAAAGGAGGTAGCCAAAGGAGCTTCAGCTTCAGCATCAGTCCTTCCAATGAATATTCAGGATTGACTTCCTTTCGGATTGACTAGTTCGATCTCCTTGCAGTCCAAGGGACTCTCAAAGAGTCTTCTTTAGCACAGTTCAAAAGCATCAGTTCTTCAGTGATCAGGCTTCTTTATGGTCCAACTCTCATATCCGTACATGACTATGGGAAAAATCACAGCTTTGACTATACAGACCTTTGTCAGCAAAGTGATGTCTCTGCTTTTGAATATGCTGTCCAGGTTTGTCATAGCTTTCCTTCCAAGGAGCAGGCCTCTTTTAATTTCATGGCTGCAGTCACCATCTGCAGTGATTTTGAAGCACAAGAGAATAAAATCTGTCACTTCTTCCACTTTTTCCCCTTCTTATTATCCTGGTACCAGCTGTCAAACATTAAATATTGCATAGAATGAAGATAGGATGAGAGTGAGAGTTAAAACACAGAGATGGTCTTTTATATGTCTTCTTTCCATACATACATCCAAGAGACTGCTGGTGTGATTTTCTATTTTCAGGGTATCAGTTATAGGACAGATTTGGAAATAAATCCAAAGATCAGCAGTGGATTCAGAAGCTATAGACATCATGTTTATTTAGTTTCTCTGAACCTTCTGTAATCAAAGGCCCTCAGAAATCATATATCTGGAGGTGACCCGGCCGGCGTCCCAAGATGGCGGTGGCGGTGGCGCCCGGGAACCCGCGGTACCGTCCGGGCTGCTGAGACGGGCCCCGCGCGGCTGGCGACGGACCGGCCGGGCCGAGGGCCAGCGAACGGGCGACCGCCGCCTCTGCGCGCTCCGCGGCTGGGGCTAGGCAGTGCGGCGGCGGCGCAGGGGGATGCTCGTGCTGGGCCGGGCCTCTCCCTTCTCAACTTAGGGCGGCGGCAGGCCCGCGCCCCTGGCTCCCAGGCCATGGCGCTGAGGGAGCTCAAAGTGTGTCTGCTGGGGGATACAGGTGTGGGTAAATCAAGTATTGTGTGGCAGTTCATGGAAGACAGTTTTGATCCGAACATCAACCCAACAATAGGGGCATCTTTTATGACCAAGACTGTCCAGTACCAAAATGAACTACATAAATTCTTCATCTGGGACACAGCTGGACAAGAACGATTTCGTGCCTTAGCACCAATGTACTACCGAGGCTCGGCTGCAGCTATAATTGTTTACGACATCACGAAAGAAGAGACATTTTCAACATTAAAGAATTGGGTAAAAGAGCTTTGGCAGCATGGCCCACCCAATATTGTAGTTGCCATTGCAGGAAATAAGTGTGATCTTATCGATGTAAGAGAGGTCATGGAGAGAGATGCCAAGGACTACGCTGACTCCATCCATGCAGTCTTTGTAGAGACAAGTGCGAAGAATGCGATAAACATAAATGAACTCTTTATAGAAATTAGTCGAAGAATTCCATCCACTGACGCTAGCCTGCCTTCTGGCAGAAAGGGCTTCAAACTCCGCAGACAGCCTTCGGAGCCAAAGCGGAGCTGCTGCTGACCGGGCCTCGGACCCCAGGGCTTCCCGATGAAGTAGGTGGTCCTGGCAGGTCTAGGGAGGGCTAGGCCCCGCCTCCGGGGGTCACCTGCCAGTCTTGGATCTTCTTCGGGCAACAAGGATTCACAGGAATTGACCGGTTTCGTCTCTTTGGAGACTGCAGCAATAATACGTCAGTCTGTGGACTTCCGTCCTGTAAAGAATCTCTGTGTACACAGGGACTGCATCGTTGGCTACTGATCTTGCAGAGAAGGAATGTACAGTTGTGTGGATGGTAGGATGAGATCATTGAGTAGCTTTGTAGTCAAGATTCTATGTCACATTTGTAAAGGGAAAATTAGCACTTTCGTGGTTCTTGAGGGAAAAAAAAACGACCTTGTGGCGACATTCCTTCCCTTGGTTTCCCATTGCCACTGTTAGAGGGAGTGGTAGCATTTAGAATGTGTGCAGTTACCACCATGGAGGGATGGCAGTTACGATCGTCTGAAGCTGACGTGGGTTGTTTCTGGGGCTGATGGAGAGGCACCCACCCCTGCCGTCTCTGACGCACTTTGCATTGGGCGCAGCAGCCCAGGACCCTGTCGCACGTGTGTCCCCAGGCACGTCACTGGCACCTTTTTAGGTAAGCTCTGACGATCGAAACGGTGGTGGTAGAGAGGCTGCCTGGAACATGTTGAATTGCAGATTCAGTTTAAACTGACTAGCCATGTTTTCGAAAAGAAGAGAGGAAGCCCAGAAAGTGGAGTAAATGCTGTCTGTTTTTTATTTAACCGAGCTGTCTTGGTGGGGGAAACAGTTATCTGCCGCTTGCTTAGCACATGTAAAGTTGTAGTCATATATTTATGAGACCACTGCTTACAGATTATAAATTATGTAAATACATTAATAAATTCTATGTTTCGTTAAAAAAAAAAAAAAGAAATCATATATCTGGAGAACTTAATCAGAACCAGTATTCCAAACTTACCAAGGTCTTTCCAGACAAAGTATTGATAAAGATGACATTGAATTACAATTAAGGAGATTGCAGTGCTATTGAAGACATATTAAATTGAAATATGTACTTCTTACATCAAGTTTTTGATATTCTGTAGTTATTTACAGAAAAGCAAACTTTTCTGATGCATTTGGTGAAAAAAAAATGTTTAATGTCACTTTGAAGCATTTTATTATTTTGCCAGTTGTAAACATGTCAACATTTTAATAGCGTTGATTTTTGGAGTAAAAGCATCAGAGTAACCTGAAATTAACACATACCAGATAAAAAAGATAGTCAAGAAGAGGGGTAAGAGTAGCAGAGCAGAAATAATAATAAATTACAGCAGGAACAAGAAAGAAAAAGGACAGAATATTAAAAAGTAAAGTAAGCCACAGTATTTACCCTCAAGAAGCTTATTGTAGCTGGAGAAGAAGATATATGAACAGAGAATTAATAATATGAAACAATAAATGAAAAGAACAAAATAAAAATTTTTATAAAACAAAGCAGCAAAACATCATTGCAAGTGGCTACAGAGGTTATTAAGATTTAAGACTACTGAAGGCTTACAACAGCATGAAAAGGCAAAAAGATATGACACTGAAAGATGAACTCCCTAAGTTAATGGGTGCCCAGTATTCTACTGGAAAAGAACAGAGAAACAGCTCCAGAAGGAATGAAGAGGCTGAGCCAAAGCAGAAACACACTCAGTTGTGGATGTGTCTGGTGGTGAAAGTCAAGTCCAATGCTGGAAACAATATTGCATAGGAACCTGGAATATTAGGTCCATGAAACAAGGTAAACTGCAAGTGGTCAAACAGGAGATGGCAAGAGTGAACATTGATATTTTAGGAATCAGTAAACTAAAATGGACCAGAATGAGCAAATTAATTCAGATGCCCGTTATATTTACTACTGTGTGCAAGAATCCCTTAGGAGAAATGGAGTAGCCCTAGCAGTCAACAAAAGAGTCTGAAATGCAGTATTTGGGTGCAGTCTCAAAAATGACAGAATGATCTCTGTTCATTTCCAAGGCAAACCATTCAGTATCACATTAATCCATCTATGCCCAAAACACTAATGATGAAGAAGCTGAAGTTGAATGGTTCTATGAAGACATAAAAGACCTTCTAGAACTAACACCAAAAAAAAGATGTTCTTTTCATCATAGGGGACTGGGATGTAAAAGTAGGGAGTTAAGAGATTCCTGGAGTAACTGGCAAGTTTGGCCTTGGAGTACAAAATGAAGCAGGGCAAAGGCTAACTGAGTTTCGCCATGAGAATGCACTGGTCATAGCAAACACCCTCTTCCAACAACACGAGATGACACTACACATGGACATAACCAGATGGTCAATACCGAAATCAGATTGATTATACTCTTTGCAGCCGAAGATGGAGAAGCTCTATACAGTGAGCAAAAACAAGACTGGGAGCTGACTGTGACTCAGATCATGAACTCCTTATTGCCAAATTCAGACTTAAATTGAAGAAAGTGGGGAAAACCACTAGACCATTCAGGTATGCCCCAAATCAAATCCCTTACAATTATACAGCAGAAGCGACAAACAGATTCAGGGGATTAGATCTGAAAGAGTGCCTGAAGAACTATGGACGAAAGTTTGTAGCTGTATAGGAGGCTGTGATCAAAATCATCCCCAAGAAAAAGAAATGCAAAAAAGGCAAAAATAGTTGTCTGAGGAGGCCTTAAAATAGCTGAGTAAGGAGAAATAAAAGGCAAAGGAGAATAGGAAAGATATACTCATCTGAATGCAGATTTCCAAAGAATAGCAAGGAGAGATAAGAAAGCCATCCTAAGTGAACAATTCAAAGAAATAGAGGAAAATAACAGAATGGGAAAGACTAGAGATTTCCTCAAGAGAATTAGCGATACCAAGGGAATATTTCATGCAAAGATAGGCACAATAAAGGACAGAAAAAGTACAGACCTAACAGAAGCAGAAGATATTAGGTAATATCATTAAAGCTAGTGGAGGTGATGGAATTCCAGCTGAGCTAGTTCAAATCCTAAAAGATGATATTGTGAAAGTGCTCCACTCAATATGCCCGCAAATTTGGAAAACTCAGCAGTGGCCATAGGAATGGAAAAGGTCAGTCGGAATTCCAATCCCAAAGAAGGGCAATGCCAAAGAATGTTCAAACTACTGCACAACTGCACTCATTTCACATGCTAGCAAAGTAATGCTCAAAATTCTCCAAGTCTGACTTCAACAGTATGTGAATTGAGAACTTCCAGATATTCAAGCTGGATTTAGGAAAGGCAGAGGAAACAGAGGTCAAACTGCCAACAACCGTTGGATCATAGAAAAAGCTATAGAGTTCTAGAAAAACATCTACTTTTGCTTCATTGAGTACGCCAAAGCCTTTGACTGTGTGGATCACAACAAACTGTAGAAAATTCTGAAAGAGATGGGAATATCAGACCACCTTACCTGCCTCCTACAAAACCTGTCTGTCAGTCAAGAAGCAACAGTTAGAACTGGACAAAGAATAACAAACTAGTTCCAAATTGGGAAATGAGTACATCAAGGCTGTATATTGTCACCCTGTTTATTTAACTTATATGCAGAGTACATCATGAGAAATGCTGGGCTGGATGAAGTACAAGCTGGAAACAAGATTTTGAGGAGAAATATCAATAACCTCAGATATGCAGATGACACCAGCCTTATGACAGAAAGCAAAGAGGAACTGAAGAGTATCTTGATGAAGGTGAAAGAGGAGAGTGAAAAGCTGGCTTAAAACTCAAACATTCAAAAGACTAAGATCAATGCATCTGGTCCCATCACTTCATGGCAAATAGATGGGAAAACAATGGAAATAGTGAGAGACTTTATTTTGGGGCTCCAAAATCACTGCAGATGGTGACTACAGCCATGAAATTAAAAGATGCCTGCTTCTTGGAAGAAAAGCATGACAAACCTTGATAGCATATTAAAAAGCAGAGACATCACTTTGCCAACAAAGGTTCATCTAGTCAAAGCTACGGTTTTTCAAGTAGTCATGTTTGGATATTGAAAGTTGGACTATGAAGAAAGCTGAGCACCAACGAATTGATGCTTTTGACCTGTGGTGTTGGAGAAGACTCTTGAGAGTCCCTTGGACTGCAAGGAGATCAAACCAGTCAATCCTAAAGGAAATCAATCCTAAATATTCATTGGAAGGACTGATGCTGAAGTTGAACCTCCACTACTTTGGCCACCTGATGCAAAGAACCGACTCACTGGAAAAAACCCTGATGCTGGGGAAGATTGGAGGCAGGAGGAGAAGGGACCACAGAGGATGTGGTGGTTGGATGGCATCACCGACTTGATGGACACGGGTGTGAGCAGACCTTGGGCATCAGTGATGGACAGGGATGCCTGGCATGCTGCAGTCTATGTTGTCACAAAGAGTTGAACACATCAGAGTGACTGAACTGAACTGAACACTGTATTCAAGGTACAGAAGAAAAACTGAATTAAAGGAAAGAAACCCATTCACTATCACATCAAAAAGAATAAAACATGTAGGAATAAACTTATCTAAACAGGCAAAAAACTTGTACTCTGGATACCACAAGATGCTCAGGAAAGAAATAAAAGATGACACACACAGACGGAAAGATATACTATGTTCTTGCACTGGAACACTCAATACTGTCAAAAAGACTATACTACCCAAGGCAATATACAAATTCCATTCAATCTCTATCAAATTACCAATGGCATTTTTTACAGAACTAAATGAAAAAATTTTGAAAATTTAAAAATTTTTACTAAACCCCAAAGACCCCAAATAGGCAAAGCAGTCCTAAGAAAGAAAAATGGAGCTGAAAGAACCAGACATCCTGACTTCAAGCTACACTAGAAGTTACAGTGATCAAAATAGCATTGCCCTGGAACAAAAACAAATAAAGATCAATGAAATAGGATAGAAAGTCTGGAAATAAATCCACTTTGGTCAATGAATCTATGACAAAGGCTTCCAGAATATATAATGAAGCAAAGATTGTATTCAAGAAGTGTTGTTGAGAAAACTGGGCAGCTACATGTAAAAGAGTGAAATTAGAACATTTTCTAATACCACACACAAAAGTAAGTGCAAAATGGGTTAAAGACCTAAAGGTAAGACCAGATACTATAAAACTTAGCGGAAAACAGGCAGAACACATTTTGAAATAAATCACACCAATAGCTTTTTGGATTTACCTCCTAGAGTAATGACAATAAAAATAAACAAATGAGACCTAACTAAACTTAGAAGCTTTTGCACAGGAAAGGAAATCATAAACAAAATGAAAAGACAACTCACAGAATGGGAGAAAATATTTGCAAAGGAAATGGTCAACAAGGAATCAATCTCCAAAATATACAAACAGCTCATGTAGCCAAATTAAAAAAAAAAAAAAAGAACAACAACCCAACCAAAAACTGGGCAAGAAACTTAGACATTTCTCCAAAGAAGTCATAGAAATAGCCAAGAGGAACATAAAAAGATGCTCAACATGGCTAATTACTAGGGAAATGCAAATCACAACTACAATGAGGTATCACCTCACACAAGTCAGAATGGCCATCATCAAGAAGTCTGCCAAAAATAAAGAGCTGGATGTGATGTGGAGAAAAGGGAACCCTCCTACACTGTTGGTGGGAATATAAATTAGCACAACCACTACAGAGAACAGTATGAAGGGTCCTTAAAAAAACTAAAACCAGAACTACTGTGTTGCCCAAAAGGCTTGTTTAGCTTTAACAAGCTCTAACATCTTACAGAAAAACACCAGCAAACTTTTTGCCCAACCCAATACCATATGACCCAAGAATCCCACTCCTGAGCATTTATTAAAGAGAAAACCATATTTCAAAAAGATAAATGCATCTCATTTTTCACTGAAGCACTACTTTCAATAGTCAAGACATGGAAGCAGACTAAATGTCCAT